TCATTGGTTAATTTTAAATAGAACGCGCGTTTTTTTCGGACCGTTAGTAGGATGTTTAGAAATGCTAAACTGTTTATAAAAATATGTATTCGAAAAAGTTGCTTAGGTTTTTAACTATGTTTAAATATCCGTTGTTTTTTTTCTAGATGCATTACTACTTTAATTAAAGTTTGGAATTACTTAACTAAATCATTTTTATTTATAATAGCTTGATTATGTGTTGTTTGATCAAACAATAAACTATAAATGTAACTTAAAAGAGTGTTATAAAAGTAACAACACTGTAGTGTTATTACTTTTGTAGTCATAAATTTATTTTTTTGTTTTTCATAACATTTTCACTAACAAATTAAAGTTTATTCGCCTATTCCTTAAATTTCGTGGTTTTTCATAAACTGAAACTTTGATAATTTAACAGATATCGCAAATCGCGATGCGTTAATTCAACCCTTGTTTTGTATGTATAGAAAGCTCAAGGGGAATTGAAAATCTGTCCAACTATCCAGGGTCCGAATTAATGGGATTCTACTGTATAAAATTACTCAAATCATTACCTTGAACCAGGTATGTAAATCAAATGCAAGCTGCTCAGCATCCTCACCGACAACATTAATTGCTTTTTGAAAAGCATTATGCACTGTGTGAAGTAGTTATTTCATCAAACATTAAAGTGAATGCACCTTGACTTAACGTGATACTATTACATAAAGGTTTTTTCAGCAATGGCCCAAGGCCATCTTGCAAAATATATGAAGCTTTTTGCCGACGCATAGCAAAACCTTGACTTATTTTACTATCTGGAAACATTCTTGGGAACAATATCGGTGTGTTGTCGCAATGTCTTAAGGCAAGATCATTCTCTGCCACTTTAAAAAGCCACATAGCTTCTGCAACAGAAATTTTTTCATTTATAGAGAACTACAATTGTATAACTTTTTCTTCCCCAATAGAGTTTTTGTTAGAATCTATATATAAATGAGAAGCAGTTTTTGAAAATATTAGATCAGACACTGACTAATGATATAGTGCTTGGAAACCAACTGAACTGAATTTTAAATCACTTTTACATAGTTTACAGATAGCATATTCAGAGTTTCTTTTTTCAGCCCATTTTTCATTGAATTTTTGCTAGATTTTTGTCTAACTTTTCCAACCACACATCATTCCACTTAACCATTATACTATATAATCTATTGATAAATATACTAAAAACTAAATATAAAAATCACTAACTTTACTAATTTTATACTATAGAATGATTTATTTTTTTAAAATAATAACACCAATTTAGCAATACAAATGGATAATTAAAATTAAAATGTGAATATAAAAGATTGTAACTGTTATTATAAAATACTTTTAAAAGTTAAATAAAAACTAACATAATGTCCAAAACAACTTAAAAATATCAAAAACAGCAATTCTAAGTATTTTTTTATAAAAAAAAAACTTTAAAGTGTAAAAAATTCAAAAAAAAAAAAATGAAAAAATGACAGAAACTAACAAAAAATGAAAAAAAATAAAGAAAAAAAGAAACCATAAAAAATTAAAAAAATGAATAAAATAACGACTTGACAGCCTGCATTATCAGTTATTTCAGCTTCATCTGAATTTAAATCAGTAGTGAACTCATATTCTTCACAAAGATTTTTATCATCTATACAGATTTTTAAACACAACAACAATTTTCTTCCACTATATCTCAATTTCAAACAAAATACTTATATCCATAAATCTTTTCTTTATAAATTAAGTAATTTAAATTAATTAGCTCTAAAATGGAAAGATGAATTATTTAACCAAAATAAAATTTTTAACAATTTAAATTTTAGCCAATCATTTGTTGGTTGGTCTCTTTTATAAAAGGCTTTCATAACATTTACGCCTGAAGGCCAACATACAAAATTACCAACTACCCAAGCGCTTGGTATGACTCCCTCTTCCTCGGTACTTCCCTCTAACCAAACTGCACGCATCCATTTTTTGGAAAAAAAATATTAATTTTACATAGAATCAAAAAAAAAGAAAAAAGGAATTTGAACATTTTAAACTATAAACTGTTAATAAATTAATTATTAGTTTGAGCTATGTACCAAAGATAAACCATAGCGCTACTACTGTTCAGCATCATTAGGTATTGGGAATAGAGCATAGCCTCTTTTGTATGGAAGTGACACAACTTTTCTTTGAAGTTCATGTCTCTCCACAATTCTTCTCATTGTTCTAGTAAAACTATGAACAACACCAATCTGAAATATTTTGGATTCTGCTGGTGAGGTAAATATATTATCTATATCATGAATTTCCACCACATCACATACATATTTTCCACAATTTTTTATTTCTCTAATAAAATCAACATTTTTGTTTGTTAACAGAAAACAATTATCCTTTGATCTAGTTGAGATTGTAGTGAAAAATCTCTGTTTAAAATAGCATTTATCTTTTATTTTATCAAATTCTGCTAGTCTATTTGTCACTTGCACAACAGGATTGATAGCTTTTTTAACATAACCTTTGAGTTTTTGCATGTAGTTTTCAAATTTAAAACATGACACATCATTGAAAGAACAATTGAAGTTGCTAACATCTTCATTCAAATTAATGAGCCCTTGAACATTGTAAACAACAAATGTATCTCCATATATTAAAGAAGCATTACTAACAAAATAATTTAACAACTTCTTACTGTAATCAAGATGCTTTGATCTTCTTTCGTCCTTTGAATCCAACATTATACTTACTCCGATGCTGAAAGAAAGAAAATGCTTATAAATGGATGGTGATATAATATCTTTTAAAATTAAAGGACCAGTATAGAGAAGAAATTGTCTGTATTCTGTAGCTTTCCATCTATCCATTTCTAACAATGTCCTAGTTGGCGAGCAAGCTCTTTTGGTAGATGCCCACGTAGCTCAGTTAGTTTTTTAGATATCTACGATATTAACCCAAATGATAATTTACTATGTCGAGGACCACTTTTAAAAAACTTTATTATGCGTTTCGCAACCCCCAAGCATACCAAGTGCATGTTGTCAAGAGAAAAATCTGTAACACAGTTTACGCCACAATCTATTAAAGGTGTTGAAGCTTTCTGATGATTTGGATAACCAATGGCAGAAAATTTCAGATTTGTCTGAATCTCGTGTATAGCATTAGAATTAAAAACAACTCCCGACTCCAAGATCCTTTTATCACGCATCTTTCGGATGAATGGTATGCCGAATGACTTACAACTGACTTGAGGAGTGCTCTGGCAGGAGGATCACATGCAAAACACTTTAAATTAACTTTTATTTTTTTATCGTTAAAATTAAATCCATTTTGTAAAAGATTAATAACTTCCATTTTAAAATCATGCAAATAGTCATTTAAATATATCGGCTTTGAGCTTCCACGAAAAAGTGCCTCAATAAATACATCATATTTATCAAATTTAGCTAAAATAGGCCACATCTGTAAATTTGAAGACTTAAAAAGGAGAAGACCATCAATATTAATTATTAAATCAATATCTTTATTTTGTTTAAAAATAAAAAGTTGTTAAAAATTGTTTTCATAATTCCACTTTCAATCCCAAAGTAAGCATACGTACCACCACATTTCTCAACCCATGATGTAGATATTGAGTTTGAATTAGAGTGGGACAATCTTTGGGAAGGGTAGAGTGACCATTTTGTCTTAAAATATTTAAAATTTCATTAACACAGTCTTGCCTACATTTGTTTCTAGTAGCCCATGATGCAAGGTGTTCACTCAAAGTTGGTAGAGTTCTATTTTCTTTTTCAATGTCAGAAATTTATTCTGAAGAACTAGAACAAAATCTGAGTGAATCACTTCTGGATGATGTGATAGATACAGAATATTCATTGTCCTCTTTTTCAAGACGTGTATCAGATGAAAACAGTCTATCCTCCTGACAACAACAACTATTAGAGCTGCTTGTATCTGTTGTGAAATGGTTAACCTCTGCTGTTATTTTTCTCCACCGATTAATATACTTTTACTATATACAAAACATCATATTACCTAGATATATATATGACAAAGGTGACTAAAAATCAATTTCTAATTAAAAAAAGTAAAGATAGACAACTAATTTGTTAAATTTACAATTCATTATTTCACTGGACATTATTTAGAGGACAGTTATTAATAGTTAAAACTTAACCTAGCAACCAAAACAACAAATAACAATAATAATAATTTAAAATATGTTAATAATAAAAATAATAACAACAACAATAATACTAATAACAATAAGATTAATACAATTATTACTATCATTATTCAATAATGTATATAATATACATTCATAATCTATATAAATATGCATATTATATATATATATATATATATATATATATATATATATATATATATGTATATATATATATATATATATATATATATATATATATATATATACATATATATATATATATATATATATATATATATATATATATATATATATATATATATATATATATATATTATATATATATATATATATATATATATATGTATATATATATATATATATATATATATATATCAGGCCTTGTTTTAAATAAAAAAGTGCTTAATGCATTAGCTTAACGCGATTTTGACGTCATAAAATTATCTTTATTTTTTTTTATAGACGTTAAAGCTTGGTTTCCAAAAGTTGTAGAAATGTCTTACAACAGTTGTACAACATACTTTTAATTTGTTGTGCGGTAATTTGTTGTGCAACGTTGTGTTTCCATTATAATAAAATTGCTAAATTTTTTATATAATAACAAAAAAAAAATGGCCTCCACTAGAAATTATGCTACTCTAAACTATCGAGTTTTTGTTATACTTTTAATTTTAAAACGCAGAAAAAGGATAAAAAAAAAAATCATCAGTTTTGAGAGAGAGAACTATTTCGAAAACGTGTTCAGCAAGGTGCATTTAGTTCTTTGGTAAAAGAAATGAAGCTATTTGATAGAGAATTTTTTTATCGATATTTAAGAATGTCTCCTGACAGACTTGAACATCTTTTGTCATTAATTGGATCTTCATTAACGAAAAAGTATTGTACCAGTAGAGATTCTATATGTCCGTCGCAAAGATTAATTATAACAATTCGATACCTTGCTACAGGAGAATCACAACAAACTCAGTCATTTTATTTTCGAGTTGGCAGAGCTACAGTTTGCCATATAATTGAAGAAACTTGTTGTGCAATATGGAAAGTTCTCAAGAAAGTCTTTCTACGAGCCCCTAATGACGTAAATGAATGGCAAAATAATATTAAAGAGTTTGATCAAAATTGGAACTTTCCACAATGTATAGGAGCTATTGATGGAAAGCATGTACGCATTGAAGCACCTGCAAAATCTGGATCTTCTTTTTATAACTACAAAGGGTTTTACAGCATGGTTTTATTAGCAATTTGTGATGCTAAATATTGTTTCACAATGGTTAACATTGGGGCTTAGGGAAGGGATAATGATGCTGCCATTTTAAATGCGAGCATTTAAAATTTGGGAAGGCATTTAAAAAGGGTTATTTTAATTTACCAAAAATTTCTGAATTTGATCCTAAAGTTCCACCAGTCCTAAATGGAGATGACATATTTTCACTTAAAACATGGTTAATGAAACCGTACCCAGGTAAAAATCTTACTGTTCAGCAAAGAGTTTTTAATTATCGCTTATCTAGAGCATGTAGAACAATCGAAAATAGTTTTGGAATTTTAGCAGCTAGATGGAGAATATACAGATCTCCAATTAAAGCAAAGCCATTGAAAGTGGAACATATAATAAAGGCTACTGTCTGTCTTCACAACTATTTGCGTTTAACAAATGGAGCGCATTATATTCCTACTGGTTTTGTTGATAGTCAAAGTCATTCAGGAATTGTTATTCAAGAAGATTGGAGAAAAGAATTACAAGATCAAGGGTGTTTGCTTGATTTCTCAAAATCAACAAGTAAAAGATCTGTTTTTGATGCAATTGCAATAAGAAATACTTATAAAGATTATTTTAATTTATGTGAAGGAAGCCTTTCGTGGCAAATGGACTATGTTCAATCGTGTGGCCACAATCCAGTTAATAACTAGAATGTATATAATAAACAAAATTTCCTAATAAAAGTAAATATGTTATATTTAACAAACCAATAATTTACTTTTTTTTTTATAGTTAAAAGATATACTTCAACAGTTACCTAACAATTAATAAAAGATTAACATTTTATACCTCCATGATTTTCTAAAATAAGTTATAGTTTATCACATCAATAGACTTAACAAAATAGTAAGCTAAATTTAGTCTATTCCAATTATTAATCAAAAGTAACTTCACATTTAATTTTACTTAAAATGTTATGTTTCTTGCATCAATAGGTTAAAAAAAATTGTAAGCCAGAATGTGTCTTTTTAAATTATCAACAGTTACTTCATAGCTTATTTACTTCTAAAGTACAGTTTTTCCACATTGACCAGTTAAGTAGAGTAATAGGCTAGATAGTTTCACCTCTGACTGGAAACTCTAATTTAAGAAGTAATGTTTGTATTTGAACTTTAGCCAAGGCTTTAGAATAGTTGTTTAACCGCTTAAGTTGCGGAACTAATGATTTCATGAATAAATAATCTTCATCCTGCTCTTCGAGAGTCGGATTTTAAATATTGGAGTTAATTTTTTCTAATGTTTTCACCAAGTTTCTATCAAGTAAATCATCAGAATCCAACTTTTTTTTTTTTTTTTTTTTTTTGTTATTAGGGTGAATTGTTGACTCACTTGACTCTCCTTGCACGAAAGTATTTATAGAGCTGTTTTCTGTGGTCACATCTTCAGATATATGATCATTATTAAATGGATGATGAGTATTTTCAACTTGCCCACATACCATGTCAATGTTTTCTTCCAAATTCGATGTTTCTAATCTGGAGCCAGAAGGTAAACAAATAATAGTTGTTGTTTCGCTATGTTCTATAAAAGTATTTAGCCAATCGAGCTGAAGAAACTGAGGTGGAACTGAGTTCCTTCCAGAACCTGATGGAATATTTTTTTTTTTATTTCAGCCACCTTCCATAACTACTTCGAATGCTTTTATATTTCTCTTCCGCTTGATTAGGAGATAAGTTTGAAAGACGACCAACTTCTTCCCAAGCATTTTTCTTTTTCCATTTATCTTTAAAATCTCTATTAAACTTGACATACAATACTGGAAATTTTTGAACTTCATTCATAAAAGCTGCCTTAGATAGTTTTTCAAACACACATAATGGAGTTGTCGTCATGTTTTGTAAAAAATGAAGATGTTTTATTAACTTTACAGTTTTTGTGCAGTCTCCAATAAAAAATTAACTGCGCGACCAAAAAAACGGTTGCAGAAATAGAATTTTTTCAATACTCACAACCGGAGTTGTACAACATGAGCTTTGTTGTACAACCGACGTAAAGTTGTGCAACTTACGGTATAAAATGTTTCCATAATAAAACAAAGGTGTTGTACAACTGTTGTACGACATTTCTACGACTATTGGAAACCAACCTTAAGTGTTTTAACTACCGCAATAAATAAATAACCGCAAACTAGTTCAATTTAACAATTAACTCAAATAACTATAAACGTTTTAAATGTAAATTTATTATGAAAATTTTGCAATGTTTTCAACTGTTATTTTATTATTAATTTTAAGGCAATATTATTTAGTAAAATATATATATATATTTTAATTATTTCTGAAATTTGTTTTTAAATAATTTTTTTTATTCGTTATTGAATAAAAAATAATAATGATATTTTTTATTTTTAAAAATTTCTAGAGTAAACAAAAAATAATAACATTGATAAACACAAACCCATGGTAATTATTTAAACAACGATTTTGTTTTGACAAGCAAAGAAAAGTTTAGGTTTTTAAATTTTTTTTAAACTTAACTTGTTTAGCGTTTCAAATTGCGTTTTATAAAAATATAATAAAGTTTTGTCTGCTTTGAGCATATTTTTGATACATAGTTTAGATCGCGTTCGCCAGGAATTTCATTAATTTTTTATGTTATTGTAAAAATATTTTACTTTTTAAACAAATCAAAAAGAAACAGAGCTATAGATATAGTATTTATAAACCGTTAGGCAGTTGCCCTTACAGCACCATTGTTTTTGGATAATATTTTATTTTGATGAAGATCACATAACTTACATTTGATTTTAATAACGTAAGTCTTCTCTTTTTTTGTGATCATCGCATCGGCAAAGCATCAAAGCATCAAAGCATTCGGCAAAGTCACAAGATATAAAAGTTTTTAATGTAAATATTTTGTCCTTAAATCACACGGTCGTTCAGACTTACTGAATAAGTGGAAAGTTATTATACACGCGCGCAGTCAAGCTGATATATTTTCAGAGTTTTAAAAATGACTACGGTACCGTATATTCTCATTGACAACGAGCTACTTGTCTGAATATATGTTGTTAAATAAGTGTTTAGACATTTATTAAACAAAAATTATTATGAAAGGAATTATATATATATATTAATATATATATATATATATATATATATATATATATATATATATATATATATATATATATATATATATATATATATATATATATATATATACATATATATATATATATAAATATAAATATATATATATATATATATATATATATATATATATATATATATATATATATATATATATATATATATATATATATATATATATATATATATATATATATATATATATATATATATATATATATATATATATATATATATGAATTATTAGCAAATCTAATCGATTTAAAAAATAGAACTTCACAACAAAAACTTAAAACTTCTTTGCAGAGTTTGTGGACAGTTATTAGGAAAAAAACATAACTTTATAGGAGAAGTTCTTAAAATGAAATTGGAGAATCTGTTTCATGTTAAGTTGACAGATGTAGATATTATCCATCTTCCTAATATATGTCAAAAATATTATTGCATATTAAACAATGTCCTTAAAAGGAAAACATGGACTGCTCTTTGTCTTTGCACTCAATGGAAACCCCATTCTGTTAACTGCTTTACTTGCCAATCTGTAGAAAAGCTTAGTAAAGGTTTAATTTTTTCTAATGTGCAATTCAAAAATAAAGGTAAATGCTCTGGTCGTCCAAAAGATAATATAAAGGATAAAAAGGTGGACATTTTCAATGTTTGAAATCATAAGAGAAAAAATAGCCACATTACATGACAAGGAGATAAATATAGAAGAATTAAATAATGAGTTAAACCCTCATTTACAACGTTGTTTATGTAGTATATGTGGTAGCATACCAATGCAGCCTTTAACTTTAAGAAAATGTGAACATCTTTTCTGTTTTTTTTGTATAGTAGAAAATATAAAAACAAAGCCGATTAGTGACACCGTGTGTCCTCTATGCAAAGAACATATAGTTTATGAAGACTTATCAACTAGTAAAAACGCTATTTCTCTTATTAAAATGTTGGCTGTTGCATGTATTACATGCACACAAAAGTTTAATATAGTTCAAGAATATACTATATACAAGGATCATAAAAGCATGTGTCAAAAAAAAACTTTTTTGTCACTATCAACATCACCACAACCATCATCAACAACATCACATCTGAAACCATTTTCATCTAAAACCAACATATCAGATGTTTTCATGCTTACAAAAGACAGTGTAATTCCAAGAATAGTGGAAGATGCTGCCCTTCACACTATTAAACAAATGATGGCAAAAAATGATGATAACATAGTTACATTTAGAAGCGGAGGACATCGAGATACCTTACATACTGATGATTTTATTCTCTTTTTTAGCCTAACTCCTTTTTACCTGTTTTCAAAGCTTATGTTTGCAGCAACAAGGCATCAATCAAAACAAAAAAATGCAGAAACTCTTTTTTAAAAAATTAGCTGCAAATTATTGCAGGTAAATCTGTTGATGCTTTTGGTTGCCTTTCTTCACAGCTTCTTAAATCATTTCAACCAGAAACAAGAGAACTGATATTAGCCAATTCTAATATTAATAGAGTTACAATTGGTGCTGCTGAAATGGTAGCGATAAAAGCAGATTTAAGTTTGCCTTGGGAAAAGCTGAAAACAATATTTAAGTAGGTGATTATTTTTTCAGGTTTTATTGCATTCACAGAAACATAACTTTTTTTTTATAGGTGGTTAAAGACATATGATATTGGTATAGCCTCTCATGCTTCCCAAAGGGTAATTTTTGATAGATTTTCAGGAGATGACATTATTGTTGAAAGTGCTCCATTTGCTTTTCAAAAAGAAAAAAAGGTACTTTTGAAATCAAGTTAGCATCTTGGGGTTATATAGAGGATTTACCAGCGAATATCCTAAGACATCTTGAAAAATTAGATAAGTGATTTTACTAATAATAATACTAACATATGAAAAGAAAACATTGTATATTCTGTTAGAAATAGTGGTTTAAACTAGAAAATATTTCCAATGAACTAGATAATTCTATTTCAGTGTTGACTTTAGTGTCTTAAAAAATTAAAATCTTAACATGAATTTATCAGTAAAAATTATAAATTACATTTTATTTATTAAAATTTAAATTCATTTAAATTTTAATGCAATCAAAGTTATTCATTCAACTTTATGACTTAAACAGTATTAAAAAAGTACAAAATAGGGTGGTTTGATTAAATTTTGTTTTTAAAAGGTATTT